GAAATCCTATACGGTCTATACTACCCACCCATACAGCAGCAACGCTTGCACATGGTAACCCATATCGGAACTCTTAAACCCCATACGGCCATACCGGCCCTGTTGGAGACCCTACTGATGCTCAGGGCCCAGATCAGCCCCCCCTTGCCGAGTTTCTGGTAGATAAGGTGACAGAAGTGCCGCAGAACGCTGGCCTCTGCAAGACCAGGTTGCCTTTGTTTCTCTGTTGAGGGGTGGGCTAGGCTTTAGGGCCGGGATGTGCAGCCCCTCCTGCTGGGAAGTGCCATGGAAACGACACAGGTGTTCTCTGGTCGACGACTCTGCGAAGCAGTTACTGGGGCCGGGATCCTTTTGCTGATTTTGCGTTTTGCTCGTTTCGTTTGGGTTTGGGGCTTGGGAGTATGGCTCGGGCAACAAAGTACATGTGTCTGCAGACATGTAGGCAAACAGCGGCAAGGTCTGCACGCACCCTATCACGGGCACATGCGCAGTTCCATGATGTATAAGCGACCCTGAGACCGGCACCACACTGAAAAGTTTGGGAAATTGACAAACCTAATGATTGACTGGCACTATGCCTGCTATGCTTGCTGCTTGTGCTTTTGGGTGTTGTTCTCTCTCAACACTTGTCGCCTCCTCCCACGTCAACCTCGCACGTCGCCTCACAGCGCCTCAGCTCCACCCACGCATGCACTGGTCTGCTGCTAGGCTGTGCGAAAATACGGAAACGTGAAGCTTCAGTCACCCGAGTCTATCTCATGATGATGGTGATGACGACGATGGTGCAGGTGATGGTGACGATGGTAATGGTGATTCTTGGAACAGTCAAATCAAAACCACATGGTTGAGACCTACGGGACTGGACTACAACGTCGAAATCGATCCAGCCATGAGCAGCTCCCCTTGCCACAAGCAGATTACCCTACATACAACCAATTCGGCTAACGAAGAAGCAGTGTGATCCCATGCCTCAAGCCCCCAACTATGAGTCGTGAGACAGCCCCTCTCGGAAGTCCAGGTCGAGGCACACGACATCGGCCACTCCAGCTACTTGCAGCTCTTTCAGGATGCTGCACTCCTTGAGAACAGATTCGCCAGTGTTTTCCTGGCTCACCTGAGGCTTGAATCTATCTTCCGGGGAGCTGGGTCTACGAACAGTGCTGGTGGACTTAGGAGTTGCGAAAAAATATAGTACAGCATAGCACATCAACATTATACGAGAACATAAACTAGTATGCTAGAGTGGATTCTGCAGCATTCATTAAGCCATGGTACATGCTTCAGTACTGTAGAAAATAACTCTGATCCCAAAGGCTACGTACTCTCGATAACTCCCGGGACTTAGACTCTGCAACAGTGAGCACTCGTCCGGAAATCCGAGGGCCTAGTATCTATCTCAGCAAACAATCAGACGTTTAATTGCCGAAGCCTCACCCAGTGCTGAAGATCTGTCATTTGCTGCGGTTTCTGCTGCTGCTGCTGCGTGAACGATGGTCCTTGTTTTGGCTCGTCCTGTTGCCAATATCATGCTCAACATTAACATTCCGTTCTCTCTTGACTAGCACAGGCGCTACTACGGCGGCGACTGTACCTGAACCACTGCTACGCCGATGACGATGACGACGACCGTGCCGAAACAGCGAGAGCAGAGATGTTATCGTCGTCGTAGTGGTCGCGACAGCATGACCCGGACTGCTTCTACTCAGGCTGCTAGATGCAGGCCAGCTGCTTTGAGAACCTCGGATGTGCAAAGGCATGCACCGGGCTGCCATCAAGCTCTCACACAGCTAATTGATTTCCTCAGCTCTCATGTCTGGAGGCTTAGCCTGCATCTGCACGTGGTTTGCAGCATGCAGTCGAAGGCCAGAGGGCCTACTCCAACAAAGCCCAGGCAAAAGGGGAAACCCATCGGGAGATAAGGGCCGCTGTCGTCTAGGCCTCTGAGGAAGTATCCCTTTATGTTGTTGAGGAGACCTTGATCCGAAAAGAGTAGGCTCCGTAGGGTCCCGGGTCCCTCTGGGTTTGGGTATCGGGGTTAGGGCTTATAGTGCTTAGATTGCCAGGGTTTAGGGCTTAAGGCTTGGATTCCGGGGTGTCAGGACAGGCTGGACTTTGATCAGCCAAGGCGACGGAAAGCGTGGTTCCAGGAGGGCTCCCTTCAACCTGCCAAGAGGCTCGAGGGGACCCTTCGGGCTCAGGGCCCCTGAAGCCTAAACCCTTTAAGGTTTAACCTTGAGGGTTTAAGTTTAGGGTCTATAGGGTTCCGCCAAGGAACATGTCATGCCTGCGACACGCTTGGGATGAGTTCTGGCCTCTAACTCACCGGGCCGGAACCCTCGCAGTCCCTAAGATGCAGAGGATATGGTTTAGGGTTCAGGGTTTAGGGCGTATGATCTGAGGTAAAGGCCTTCATGATTGCAACAGGGCTTTGGGGGATGGGGTGTTTACTGAGTTCCAAACTCAATACGGATCTTGAAACCCTGATATCGAAACCCTGGAACCTGAAACCCGAAACCCTAAACATCCCCCGAAGAGCACACCGCAATTCGAAGAGCCTGAAGCCCGAACCCTGAAAGCTAAACCACCGGCCTAGACCCTGAACCCTTAATCCCTGGCCTCTGTCACGAAGGCGGCTCCCTGAGCCTCAGTGCAGAACTCTTCGGGCTTGGGTTTGGGGCTCAGGTTTTGTTTATATAGGGTTGAGGTATTGGAAAATAATACGAAAGTAAGACAGACATGAACATGGCTTTATTTGGGGGCTTAGGGTTGAGGTATTAGACAAGTAAGACGAAAGTGAGACAGAAATGAACATGATTTGTGTTTTCTGGAGGAGGACTCCGACAAAGACACTACGAAAAGCTATCAACCACTTCATCTCCCATGCTCCCTTGGACCAACAGCAGCAAGCTGCAGTTGTGTTTTTTCGCGAAACATTGCCACCTCTGCAGCACTTTGATCGCTGATCTACGTGCGACGTGGAGTGAGCTGACAAGCAATGTGACCCGGAATCTGCCGGCCTGGTTAACGTGCCTTTCCACCTCGCACCCTCAGCGATATGCGACGTGCGTTGTCACCATACTGGTTCTGCCGGGGACGAAGTGAGATTGGGATTGCAAGGACTGCGAGAATGTTCCAGCGTTAAGTTTTGTGGAGGGTATGCTCATACTTCGGCCCCGGCAGCTCCCTCTCCGCAAGAGCAAGCGAAGCATCTTCGGATTCCCATGGCCATAGCGCTTTAGACGGGTTGGAGTAAGGCCCCGACTGAACGTGCAAGAAACGGACCCGAGCAAACAGACTTATATTCAAACAGGGCAATCTTCTTGCTCTCACAAGCTCATGCACGGCCTTGGTGGATTCCTCCAAGAGTCCAATCCTGCTTGCCCAGGTAAACATGACCATACAGAAGGCTAGAACTGCAGACCTGCAATGGCTGACAAATCTAATCCCGGGGCCTGAACGATTTGAATATATGGCTTTGGGGGGGGTACAGTGAAGTTTACATATAGAAGGGGGACTAAAAGGTAATACCATAATACTACATATTTACTACATACAAACTATGAAGCGTCTACATTAGACTCGACCGACTTGGACCTCTGGGAGCTAGTATGTCCTGGACAGGCCAGCTTGGGATCTTTCTCGGCATGTCGCAGAGTTGTAGCATGTCGCAGAGTTCTAGCTTCCAACCTAAGTCTTGGAATCCTACACCGTCCTACACCCTACGTCCTATAATAAGTGGGACAACTGACATGCCAACTCAGGCGACAGGCCAATTTCACGTTCGAATCCGCTGGCGTCCGTCTTAGTGAGTCACAAGCCTACAGAAACGAACCTTCTGATCATGCTCCCAAACAAGAGACTTCACTCTGGCACATTCGAACCCTTGCAGCTTTTGCTTCTTACTTCGATATCAAAGGGTTGCAGTATGCTCTCGTATTTGATGGACTCAATGCTAGGCCCTGAAAACAGCTTGCAGTCTCTAGGACGGACGTGTCAGTGACTCCTCAGACACTGTGGTCTTGTAGCAGCGTTTTCAGATCAAGCGCATACTCACCTCGGACGCGCAGCAAAACGCGCATGTGCATTCGTGCCACACTGGTTCTGCCGCGGACGAAGTGGCATTGCTGCCAGAACCAGAGCTCTATGGGTTCAAATTCAAGCTTGCCCGTTTGTAATAGGGAATTCGTATACTCAGTATACTCATACTTCGGCCCCGGCAGCTCTCGCTTCGCACGAGCAAGTGAAGCATCGTCGGATTCCATAACCCTTTAGAAGAGTTTGAGTAAGCATCGGAAAATGACCCTATAGCAAGCAGACCTATACCCAAACAGGGCATGTTTCTTGGGTTTCACAAGCTCATGCACGTCTTTCGTGGGTTCCTCCCAAGGGTCCAATACGTCTTGTGTCTCCATATCTGGGCTGAGCTGCAGAACTCCTTTGGCAGGAGCCTGAATGATTTGAATATGGCTTTCGGGCACAGTGAAGTTTACATAGAAGAGGAACTAATAAGGAAATACTATAATGAATGCTACATATTTACTACATACAAACGATGCAGGCTTCTACATTAGACCGACTTGGACCTCTGGGAACTAGCATGTCCTGGACAGGCCAGCTTGGGATCTTTCTCGGCATGTCGTAGAGTTGTAGCTTCCTCTCAAACCTTGGAATCCTACACCGTCCTACACCCTACGTCCTGTACTAAGTGGGACAACTGACATGCCAACTCAGGCGACAGGCCAATTTCATATTCGAACGTGTTGGCGTCCGTCTTAGTGAAACAAGCCTACAGAAACGAACCTGCTGATCATGCTCCCAAACAAGACATAACAAGACTTTTCACTCTGGCACATTCGAACCCTTGCAGCTTGTGCACCCTACTTCGATATCAACGCGTTGCAGTACGTTGTTACATTATACATTGCCAGGTGGAGGGTGTGTGGCTGAGGCTATAGGCCTCTGAGGCAGCTTGCAGTCTCCAAGACGGACGTGCCAGTCTCTCACACACCGAGATCTTTGAGGAGCGTCTCCAGCTCCATTGCGAAGCTCTCGGCTTCAGCGGCAGCCATCTCGGCCTCCTCCAGCGCAAGCTCCGCGTTGCGCGCTGCTTCCTCGGGGGACCATGATCCGTCGCCCACGGGGGTGATCGCTGCGGCCAGATCGGTGAAGATATCTTCGCAATCCATCACGCCCTCGTTCTCGGCCAGAGGAACCACCTCCTCCAAAGCATCAGGAGGAGCAACCCAAGACTCAACCCAGTGACCCGACAAAGCAAACGCGAGGCTCTTCCCCTTCCCTCCCTCGTCCCCCGAAACCCCTACCCAGCGCCCCTGCCACAGCTCGATCGGTGTCTCCTCCTCGTACACCTCGTCGGCAAGCGCGTGCTGAGCGTCTTTCTCCTCCGACGTTGGTTTGCGATGGCCCTTCCGATCCAGGCCGGCCTTCTCACGGGCGGCCTTTCCCAAGCGGCCCGGCTTCACCTTGATTGTAGTTTCGGGGGCCTTCAAATCATTTAGGCACAGAGGTACCTCTATAGACTCTATAGGCACCATGCGGGCAACTTTTAACAGCTTCCCAAAATGCCACCAAGTCACCATGTGTCGCAGAATTCGGATGGACCAGGCGCACGCCTGGGCTGCTCCTCGGCGCCCACACGAAGAGCACTTGCAAGAAGCACCGTGCGCCATGCTGATGAACAGAGCCTTCCGATGTCTTCCGCTAACGAGGTCCCAGGAGCTCGAGCCACTATGGCACATGTCCCGGGACACGAGTGTGAGGATCGACTACTGTTTGAAGTTAGAAGCTTTGGGGTTCAAGGTTTAAGGCTTGAGTTCTTAGGCTTCTTGTTCCGGGTTTGAGTTTGTTTGAGATTTACGGCTAAAGCTTTTTCAGCTCAAAGGTTTAAGGCTTTGGCTGTGTAGCGGTTAGGTTAAGGCTCCGGGTGTAAGGTCTCTGTGGTACCTACGGCTGGCTCTTCACGTGTCCAAGACCCGACAGTGGTTTACGGGCCTGGGGCTTGGGATTTACGGCTTGCAGGGGTGTAGGGCTTGGGGTTTAGGGAGACTCTTCAGAAGCTAGCATGAAAAACTCAATACCACCTGAGCGGCACCTGCCCCAGCCAGCCGCAGCACACGCAGCCGCTGGCTCCCACACGTCACCGCCTGCCCATCAAAGTTTATAGCTCAGGGTCCCGCCCCCTAAGTGCAGGTGGTGTAGAGTTTAGGGTTAAAGTTGCTGGAGTCAAGTTCCGAGTGATGGACCCCTTGGAGAGGGATCACGCGCTCGGAAACCGCTTTGCGCTCTCTCAACTTGTGGGATGCAACCCCCTGGGTTGAGAAGAGATCATAGGAGCATCGGTCCACGCGAACCCAAGAAAGCTTGACATCCGAGCCTTCACTGAGACTCGGAAGTCAAACCTTGCTGACATTGGCCCACAGTAGTTGCTATCCGGGTCTCTAGGGACTCTAGGGGATGAACTCAGGTTTAGGGCTTCTTAGGTATAGCCTAGAAGGCTTGAAGATTTAAACTCGGGGATTCGTGACAACTGAGGGACCTCCAGAACCCAACCCCCCAACCCAGAGCCTGAAACCTAGACCCTAAACCCAACTCCTAAAAAGGTCCTAAGCCTCCAAACCCTAAACCCCTGAACCCCAAACAAGATTGGAAACAGAATGCTGCTTTCCGTCACTGTACCTTTTGCTGCCAGAACCTTCCTTTTGAAGGGCCCACGTACATTCCATATTAGGGCTCAGAGTTAAACCCAAAACCTGGAAAATGTATGTCATGGCATGTTAAGGTAAGCCTAAAGCCTAAAACCCTAAACTCTGAACCCAAACCCTAACCCCAAAACCCTGAATCCTGAACCCAATTACTAAACCCCTAGTGGATTTCATAGAGGGGCCGTAGTGTGGGTCAGGGCAACGCCTCCGGAAGCGCCGGGACAGCGCCGGAAACCTAGGGAAGGGTGGCCCTAATTACTAGAGTAGGGGTTCTTTAAAAGTTCCGGGTTCCGGGACGAAGGTGGTTCCTTCAAGGGCTTTCGTGTAGGGGTCTTGATAAGCAGGAAAATGAAGGAGAGACTTCATAAGAAGGAGCCCTTGGGGTCCAAGGAATGATAGTCTTAGGGGCTCCTAGCCCAAAAGACGATAACGAAATGAAAACTATGGTAGGATTCTGTAAGCCCCAAGAGGATACAGGTTGCCTACTCAGCCCCTGAGTACTATTGGCAACTTCCTGCCCCCAGAAGATGAAGTTTTAGGCCTTTCGCTTTCGCGCTGTCTTCGAGATACTAGGTCTATGGCGCTAAACCCTGAGGGCCGTTCTCTAAATTAGGGCCCCCTATTTTTGAGTCCCTAAAAACAGTACGGCTCCCTTTATAAACAGGGCCCTAGCCGGACCCCTGAGCCTCTAGAACCGACGCTGCAAAGAGTCTGTCCACAAACATTGGGCGAGGCCACAAGTGTACAGGAATGGACGAAATTGAGGACCCCTCGGCTAGACTCTAAACCCTGAAGCGGCTTGGGGTTTAGGTTTTAACCGGTTTCAAGGTTCAGGGTTCAGGCGCTTAGGCTTCATACAGGCAGGGTTTAACCATTCCCTCTACATTCCTTCCAATGCATCTCTGGTGACTCGGCCATCGGCGGCCGATGCTGCCACACCCCAAGCCAAGAGCCCGTGGCGCCGGCAACACGTCGGCCTGCGGATGTACAATGCTTAAACAGCGTTAAGTAGTATGACAATGTCTAAAATCAATATATAAATATGTAGATATTGATGCTGCTTTACGCTCTTGCTGTTGCTACTGTTGCTGTGCCAACAGTGCCTGTCAGGCCTGCATGAATATTTGCCTATTCGTCTTCTGCTGCTTCCTTATTGCCTTCTTCAGTTCTATCGTTTGCTAAGCGCCGTACGTGATGTACTGGTAGCCGTGGAAATCCCAAGGCCAATGATGTTCATAGTACGAAAAGCCAATGCTGATCTTTGTGATTCTTTGTTGGACCCTTGTTACTCTCAAAGAGAGAAAACGATTAGGCAAGGACAAGGCCGCAAACATCCACAAACAATTGTCTACCTATCAGAGCCCTTACACTACCTACAGTCGCCATTGTGGTTACTTTCTTGCGTTACCTTATAGGATCCTAAATTTCAGACTGGTTCAACCAAACAAGAGAACTACAACGGAGACTATAGGTAACCTTAAACCCTAAACCCCTAAACCCTATAGGTACGTAATCAAAGCTCTGGAAAATGCCTGAACACGAGGTTTCGGACGCTGCAGGCTAGGGGAACTGGGGTTTAGGGTTTAGGGACTCAGGGCTTAGGGCCTAGGGCCCAGGGTTTTGAGTGTAGCAGTTCTGAGTAGGTCATAGCGGGGAGGACAGGGAATGTTATCTCTTCAGGCTCCTAGGCTGCACCCGGCTCTGTCTGAATAGAACAAACCTCAAAGCGTACCGGCAGGAAAGCATAAACTACCGTCCTCACCCTTTTACCCTAAACCCTCAACCCTGAAGCCCTAAGCCCTACACTTTCAGAGCATGCGATCGGCCTTGCCGCCTGGAGCCAGGCTGCTCCAGCACCCAGGAGCAGCAGCCCAAGGAGACGACGCTTGCGCATCGGGTTTAGGGTTTAGGGTTTGGGGTTTAGGGTTTAGGGTTTCGAGATCCCAGAGTCGCTAAAAGGTGTTTGGGCTTCGGCTTTTGTTATTGCGTAGGGCATTCAAGGTATTCGGGTTTAGGGTTTAAGGGGATTAAAGCTGTATTTTAATTAAGGTAATAGGGTTTAAGGTTTAGGGGGATTTAAGGTTTTGGGCTTTTGGGCTCTATCCTTGGCTTTGCTCTGCTGGTGAGGGAAAGGTTTAGGGTGTTAAACCCCCTAGGGGCTCTCGAAGCTTAGGGTTTAAGGTTTCGAGTCCTGGCCTTCGGGGTGAGGGCGTACTTTGCAGCTCAAGGCAAGGACTAGACTCAAGGCTTCTAAATCTTGTGCTGAAGTTGAGCAATCCGATCGGGGCGGCGTGGGTGATACGTGCTCGCGGCTCGCAGCCCAGGTTGCAGTGGCTGTGGCTGTCGGCAGGCACCTATGCGACACAAGTACTACCAAGTGCAAGGGGAAAAAAAAACTAGAGATAGTAGTAGTCGCAGCTGCTGTCAACGCAAAAGCGGGACTAGCAACCAAGCAAAGGAGCAGCAAACGAAAACATCAAAAAAGGGAACACAAAGTGGAAAAGCGATTCTCTGCCAATGCTTCAAAAAAAAACTTAGGCCCCAATGCCCAAAAAATTCAATCGTATACACCTTTTAATCCCTCAACCCTCTTCGGCAGCAGCAGTCTGCCTTCGTGGAGCTTCCGGGGCCAGCCTCATAGCCGGCGAGAGTGACCTGAGATACGATGACAAGATCTTTAATGTAGGAGCCTTAATCGTCAGAATAGGGATCCTTGCCGAGTTCCTTTAAAGGGTTCGATAAGGGGTATCATGGGTTGGGGCCTGAATAATCACGGGGGTAATATGTTAAGGTAACCTGGGGTATAGAACTACAAACTATTCCGACCCCTTTTCTACTGCTACTGTGCTGTTGCCGCCGCATTCGCCTTGCTGCCTTCAGCGGTAGGAGTATGGCCAGTGTTGCCGATGTTACTATTCTTGATACCGCTGCTTCTGCTGTTGCTGCTGCTGCTGCAGCAGCTGCAACTTCTACTACTACTGCTACTGCTACTGCTACTGCTACTGCTACTGCTACTGCTACTGCTACTGCTACTACTACTACTACTACTACTACTACTACTAATTACTACTAATTACTACTACTACTACTACTACTACTACTGCTACTACTGCTACTACTAACACTAACACTAACTAACACCCTGTTACTACCACTGCTGCTGCTGCTGCTGCTGCTACTACTACTACTACTACTACTACTGCTACTGCTACTGCTACTGCTACTGCTACTGCTACCGCTACCGTTACTGCTACTGCTGCTGGTACTGGTTCTGGTTCTGGTTCTGGTTCTGGTACTGGTACTGGTACTGGTACTGGTACTGCTACTACTGCTGCTGCTGCTGCTGCTGCTGCTGCTGCTACCACCACTGCTACTAGTGCTGCTGCTACGACTTACGATTACGACTACCATTACGACTACAGCTGCTACTCCTAGTACTCGTCCTACTGCTCCTTCTCCTTACTTCTTCTGCCCTGCTCCTCCTACTATCCCTACCTACACTCCTTCTGCTCCTCCTACTGCTCCTACAGGTCCCACTGTCCCTATCCCCCGCCTCCCCTCCTCCCCCTGCTGCTGCTGCTGCTGCTACTACTACTGCTGCTGCTGCTGCTGCTGCTGCTGCTACTCCGCCTACTTCTCCACTCCTGCCACCGCCACCGCCACCACCGCCGCCGCCACCGCCACCGCCACCACCACCACCACCACCACCACCACCGCCACCACAGCCACCACTACTTTGTTCTTCGCAGGTTTTTCAGTTTCTCATGTTCGCCCTAATGTTCACACCGCTGTTTTCGAGGTGTAGGTCAGTCTTTTTTGGCACTGCCGTTTCTGTTACCGTGATGCTGCAACTAACTGTGTTTGTTTGGAGTTGTGTTGGCCCTGGGAGGAGGCAGAGGCTCGAGCTGCTTTGACTTTGGCCAACATGACCCGACAAGAGCGCCACAGCCTGATGCAGGCAGCGGGCAAACACCGATTGACTTGGATGTGCTTCTGAAGCTGACTCTGTGCAGTGTCCACGCAGCACCTGCATCTGAGGGAATTGGTTGGATTCCAGTTCCTTATAACTTACCAGCACCGCTCCCGGCCATTCCAGCCCGTGGTGGCCTCAGCTTGTCAAGGCGGCATTGAGCATAGGTCATTTCGCGATCTTGCGCACAGTGACATCTTGCACTGCTTACTCGTGAGTTGGGCACTACATGGGCAATCTTCCTCCCATCCCTCGTCTTGGTGTGCCGCCGCTGAAGCTCCATGATGCTGGCAACGGCTTCCGGAACATGCCTGGTCCGCAGGGCAAAGCTGGAAGTACGGCCGCCTGTCTGCAAGCAGCCACACTGACTCTGGGCCCCGGCAGACGGGATTCAAGGTGACTGCTAATGTCGTCCGACTCATCCAAAGGTCATGTGGCCTTGCTCACTGGCATTGGGGGCCTCCTGGGATGTGAAGCTGGTGCAGGAGGCTTTGCGACTTCTAGATCTACCTGGGGACAAATTGCATGGCTGCGACAAGTTGCGGCTAGAGCAAATCATCGCTTCCAGGTGGCGGCTGAAATCGGTCGAGAGTATCGCGGCAAAGGCTCCAATCTTATCCTGGGCCCAAGCGTTCAGGCGCATATGAGCTTTCAGCGTTCCTTCGTAAGGAATTCGGTATGACCTTGTGCCACGCAGCGTCAGCAGTCAGACTCTGCTGCTGAACGGCGAGAACTGCATCGCAGGTGCAGCGGGTGGCCCGCAATGGCGTGCAACCAAGTTACTGCACGCCAAGGTCCAGGACACTTGCATGTAGAATAAGGTCGAAACTTCGAGTACATGTCTGGCTTTCTGGCCGCAGTATATTTTGCACGTGCATCTCAGCTGATGGTGCCTGTTTGCGACTTCTCAGCCTCTGTCATTCCTGACCCAAGGGGAGGACCCCTACCTTGGCGCAAAGCTTTCTGCAGCCTATGTGAAGGGTGTCCAGGTGGGCAAAGTCATAGTTTGTTGGAAGTCCTAGCTGATTTCAGATCCTGTGAGCTTGCTCAGGGACAGGGTGTGATGGCCTGCTTGAAGCACTTCGCCTTCAATGAACAGGAGACAAACCGGATGACGGAAAGCTCTGTGGTTGACGAGCGGACTGCTTGGGAGCTCTACTATCCTCCCTTTGAGGCTGGCATAGCCGCAGGAGCAGGCTCCGTGATGTGCTCCTACAACCGTGTGAACGGGACCTACGCGTGTGCGAACGAGGAGCTGCTGACCCGTGACTTGAAGCAGAAGATGGGCTTCAAAGGCTTCGTGATGACAGACTGGTGGTCACTCCATGACCCGGCCGAGATGTCGGTAGTGAGGGGCCTGGACGTGGAGATGCCGGGGGCAGGTGCCGAAACGTTCTTGTTTGCAGACAAGCTCGAGGCTATGGAGGATAAAATGGACGGTGTATTCAAGGGCTATGCTAATTTGAAAAGGGAAGATCTCTACAAGGAGCCGGCCCGACGAATCTTGACGGCTGCGCACAAGATGCGTTTCTTTGAGGACGTGCCATCTTGCACTCCTGGCCTCGACTGTGCTGGGCCGATCTACTCTGACCAGCGGAGCACCAAGAACCTGGCTTTGGCACGGCGGGCGGTGCGAGAGTCGATTGTGCTTCTGCAGAATAAAGGAAATCTTCTTCCACTGCAGGCGAATGCAAAGCTGGCTCTGATCGGCGACGCTTGGGTGGCTCCGAGTCGGAGCACGGAGGAGCTGGGCATGTTTGGCGACTACTACAGCGGCGGTGGATCAGGGCACTGCTACCTCCCAGCAGACAGGTTCAAAACCCCCTATATGACCGTCACAGCGTACACAGATGCCCATGACATCTACACCACCAGCTCCCTGAGCAACAATGTCACCGAGGCATTGTCTGTGGTGTGGGAGGCGGACATCATAGTCGTCCTTGCTGCGACAACAGCTGAAGAAAGCCGAGACCGTCCATCTCTGCATCTAGACAATGGGGCTGACGAGCTGGTCGATGCTTTGTCGAAGGTGGGTAAGCCCGTGGTGGTTCTGGTGCAAGCTCCTGGAACCGTGGTCTTGCCCTGGCGAGAGGCCGTCGACACAGTTGCTCTCATGTTCCTTGGGGGGGAGTTCACCGGAGCCGGATGGGCCAGGCTGCTGTTCGGAGAAGTCTCCCCCTCAGGAAAACTCCCACTCATGATTCCGAAGCACGAGAAGTACACGATCGAGCCTGGGCAAGAGCCTGACGTAGTGTATGGTGAAGGTCTTTTCACTTCCTACCGGGCGTCTTCTGCATCGGAAGCAGCAGCGTTCCCTTTCGGGCATGGTTTGTCGTTCACCGAGTTTGCCATTGCTGCACCAGAGCCGTACGAATGCGGGATGCCTCTTTGCGTGTCCTTAACGGTGACCAACATCGGCACAAGATTCCCTGGTGCAGAGGTGGTGCAAGCATATTTCGAGCAACACGCCCGCAAAAAGCCACAGGGATTTTCCCGAAGGTTCAGGCAAGAAGAGATCCGAAAGGCTCTACAGTTTTTCTGCAATAAAGCGCGAAGTAAGTAAAGCCTAGAGTTGTCTGTGTCGTGTGTCTCAGTCTCTGGAATCTTCCCGAGGTTTCCACCCGAGGCTCAGGAGCCGCGGCTGTTGCTGAAAGGCTTTCACAAGACCGCAGTCCTGAAGCCAGGGGAGTCTGAGAAGGTCGAGCTGAGCTTCACAGTGCGGGATTTCTCCATCTACTCCACAGCACTGGGTGATTGGGTCCTGCAGCCCAGTGTCCGGATCCATTTGGGCGTCTCCAGCGCCGACCTGCGGCACTCCCTTGATGTGCCCCTTGCGACTTCCTAGCTGCCCTTTCGTTAAGCTCTGGCAGCGCCTCTCGATGGCCCCTCTTGTGGCAAGCGCACACGGCAAGCCCAAGGGGACCACTACCGCTACGGCATGATTGCAGAGAGCACAAGAGCGACCCGGCAGTGCAGATCAAGATGGGCGAGCTGGCACGGAGACTTTTGGACAACTTCCAGTCGGCGATGGCGGAGTTCGCGTAAAAAGTTGCGCCGAAAGTCAGTGCTCCAGCTACTGTGCCACAGCAGTTATTGGAACGGTGGCAGTTCTACCGAGCACATTCGCCCGTGTCTCAAGGCTTTCTGAATCAGAGTGAAAAGAAGATAGCAACATCTGACTGAGTCAGACGTGGCAAGTGTCAAGGCGTGGCCTCACCAGCGTGTGGTTAGAGATAGGCAGAGCCCCCAAGAGCCCCCAGCCAGCGTCCATTTTGCCCTGAGACTTTCGAGGGTTCAGTGGCCATGTCTGACAGCCCAAGGCCAGGCAGACAGCCGGATAAGAGAATCGCGGATGCGACGCAAACCTCATAAAGTCTTCTGCTTTGTTGAGCTTCCGGATGTGGTCAGCGTCGGTTTGATTGAGAATTGCTGCCTGGAGCAAAGTAATTTCTGCTTCACGAGGGCCTTTCACTTTGTAATCAAAGCTCTGTCGCAATTTGAATTGCGTTGCAAGTTTTTCAAACTGCTGGCAAAGTCTCTCTTTGTGCCGAGGTCGTGCACGGTTTACAACTTATGTGTGCCGCAAGAATTATCGCAGCATGCGGCGCTGCAGCCAACACTCTGGATAAGCAAAGCGTCCACAGCGAGCCAACCATGGCACCACGCGGAACAGTGCCTAAGCTGCCTTTGACAACAGACCAAAATCTCCATTTGTAACAGGATGCGGCTTTGTTGTGTGGCGGCTGTGTGCTGGTAATGGCGACTTTGCCACAGAAGGGCAAGCCTCCATTTCCAAACTGTGGCATCTGTGTTTGTCTTCTGCACCGGCGAATCCGTGCATGAGCTGATGTTTTTGTTCCCGCACTGTTGTCGTAAATGTCTATAATTTATAGCTATAACCAGCACCATCACCACCACGACGGCCGTGACGATGCTGTCGTCGTCGTCGCTGTTGACATCGCCATCGCCGTCATCATGGTTACCGCCACCATCACCACCATCACCGCGATCACCACTGCTAGCCCTGTCACCATCGTCACCACCACCATGACCAGCATCACCATAAGTCGGACCATGGTTCAATGAACAATCATGGAATGTTCCACGACTTCGTTATTCAGTGTTCTCGTGCAATCCTGACGTCGCCGCTTCAACAGCGACCACCTGCATGAAGCGAGCTTGCAGGAGCGGTACACCGCCCGCCAAGAGGCAATGTGTGGAGGAGATAGACCGGCACACCAAGCAGTGTGGCGCTTTAAATGCCGGGTGCTGCAGTTGTACCCGCTTCTTTTGCGGAACCAAGTAGATCGTTGCAAGAAGCCTCGGAAAGAAGCTTCAGCCTAAAGTTTTCCCTCCTCACAATGGCAGGAGACGAGGCCGAAATCGAGAAGCCAGTGCTTGGCCGAAGTCGAGCAGGCCTTGCAACTTCCTGTTCTGGCGCTGAGGGACCAGGAGCTTTCGTGAGCTTGTGTGCTCAGGCAGTGGACCAGCTAGACGTTTCAGAGACGGGCCGTGAGATGCTTTGGGCTTATGCACTGTCGCAGCCATGGAAGATGCAACTGCAGTGCATGCCCCGAGCCATTCAAATCAGGCTTCGTCTCCTCGTAAAGAGTAGCTATGGCTGCCCCGTCAAGGCAGCGTACCGTGAGACGGTTCGGGTGTCGCCTGCGAGAAGCTCGGCTGGTTGCGTCAGGAGCGACATCGATACCAGGATGCAGCAGCACGGCTTGTGGAGGAGGAAGACTCTGCAACGCCCAAAACAACCTTCCGCAGTTTTTCCTTCGACTGCCGCAGATTCCTGCAGGCCTTTCAAGATGAAGAGGAGTTTCTTCAAGCGCGCAGCCGGGAAGCGGCTGACAAGGCTTGGGCGCAGGTGAAAGCAGTGGAAGCAGTGGAGCTGTTGTACAGTGTTGTGACAAACAACTGTTCCAGGCGGAGAAATGTAGAAGTGATGCCCAGGCAGCTGTATCTGACTCCGTTGCGTGGCCTAAACAGTTAAACAATCCAGCATCAGGAAAGAGCAGGCAAGCTGCGAACTTCCAAGGAGGTCCGGACACTTGGCAAGCTTTCCCCATGCACTGTTCATCTCCTCAGGGCTTCACTGCAGCGATCTCCGCCTTTCGCACGGCCAAGGCGGCCGTGAATGTCTTCACACGATTTGGCCCGCGTTCTTGCATCGGTTCCATCAGGAAGCCTTCCTGGCAGACAACCAAGTCTTGCAGCAGCGCCGCAGAGCTCTGGACCAGTCCACGCAGGCGTTTTTGTCTCGTCCAAAAATTATCCCAGACATCTTCGTGAGATGCACGCAGGAATTGCGCCAATGCCAGGCCAAGCTGAGGGAGGCCCCGGCCACGTCGCTCTGGCAGCACTTCGACCTTTGCCTCGTTCGAGGCAACCGGTTGCAAGGACCAGCTGCAGCAGTCTCTGGCGGCGTCGGGGTGCCCGGGGTGCCCGGCACGTCGGATTCTTCCTCCATGGCCGCTGGTTTCGCCTCCAAGGCTGCCTGGCATCCTGGAGGGCACAGCGACGAGCTCAGAATGCAGCCTGAGAGGTGAAGCGGCGTGCCATCCGCTTGCGAGGCCCGAGACGAGACGGTTAGTGCATTGCTGGCGTGGGCCCCTGCCATGATGAAAAGCTATGTCGAGTGCAAGCCAAAGCGGCAGGGCGAAGTGGCCTTGGAAGACTCCCTGAAGACGGCAGCTTTGTCATCCCTGAAGCTGCCTGCAGAGGTGCGAGGGGGAAGGCTTTCAGGGCTCACATTCGGTTGGGGAAATTTCAGCGTGCCAGGCCCGAGGAAGCTTCGACAAGGCTGTCCTGGAACAGCTCCACGGAGCCCTCACAAGGCTTCTAGAGGCACTGGGACAGACGGGCAACGGGCGGATGCCCGAGTCTCCCGTCCGGCAGGCCTTGCCCACAGCAGAAGCTGAGCAGCTGGCTGTCGAGGCACCGGCGACCGCACAGCGGTACGTTACAGCGACACGTGAATGATACGCGAGCATCTGCGGGCTGACAGGAGGCTCGCGTATCGGAGGAGGCTGCCGCGTCTGCCTTTGCTCAGGCCGGGTCCAAGGTCACGCTGTCTTTGTAGTGGACTGCAGTCGCTTGCAAGTCAGCCTTGCCGCGCCTTGTCGCCTCGGCCCTTGGCCCGGCCCAGGCGCGGGAAGCACAGAGGACGAGCGCGCACGCGCTGCGCCTTAGCGAGCTGGAGCTCCGCTGGGCTCAAGGCCTTGGGCCCTGGGCCCTGCACGGCCTCTGTCGCTCTCTGTCGCTTTCTGTCGCTTCGCTGGTGATCCCATGCGGTGGTTTGGGAGGTGCGGAGGGCGCCGCCCTGGAGTGCCTTCAAGAACAGGAGCAGGAGCTTGGAAGAGTGCTGATTCACTCGCTGAGATAGGCCGTTCTCTGTGTGTTCTTCTGATTTCGGAGGAGCTTCGCCAGTTCGAGCGCGAGCTGAAGGCATGCGCATGGTGATGATGTTGGCCGTCCCGTGTCGAAGTTGATCTCGCTGTCGTTCCTGTCTGCCACACTCAGGCTGCCAACGAAGCACTGCATCAGTTCAGACATGGTCCAATGGCATCGCTCAAGGCAGATGTACTACTTTACCAAGACGTGTGCGAGCCTCCGCGGCACACAACAACACTCCCTAGCCACGAGTAGAGGTGTGCTATCATGTCCGACAGCCTCGTCTTGACAGGTCCTGCAAGAGACGGAAATCCCCGTGGAGCCATGGCAGCACTAACACAGCAGATGCATCTTCGGTTTTTTTTTGACAGCTTTCCAGCTAGAAGCCCGCTGGCAACAAGATGCTGGCGCAAAAATATCGCCGCGCTGGTTCAGTACCACAAGACCACTGTAGAAGTGGTCTGAAGTTCAACTACGGCATTAAACGCAGCTTCTAGAAAAAAAATCACCCTTAGCCGGCACACGTATTCCGCGGGATCTGACCTTGATCAAGGCGAATTTTTGAATGACCCAAGCGGAAGCCGGAAGCCCCGATTCCCGGCTGTTCCAGTGTGCACTAGCAAGCTGTATTCACTCCTTTTTCAGGAACTTGGCAGAAGACAAGCCGTCGGTTGAATCCGAATTCCAAACCGAGATTTTAAAGGTTAAAAGTCTCTACATTGCCGCACTCCTGCAATTGAGAATCTCGCTGCTGCTGCTGCTGCTTCCCTCTGTCATACTTGTACCTGGCTAGTCCAGGGGATGCGGCTGCTGCAGCTGTGGTGGGATGTGACGTTGCACGATTGTTGCTTGTCGTTGTCCTCCTTTATCTGGGGCAGAGCACCGATTCTTATTTTTACATGCGTGATGCCCGAGGTGTTGCTGAAGACCCCCACGAAGAGCAAGCAGGACAGCATCCGCTTAGGGTGACTGGTTTGTCATCTCCGCTCTCCTGCAGGACAGCCATGTGCATGACCCAACATCAGCAGGAGTCAGGTTCTCAGGTTTCATGCAGCATGTGGTGGTCCGATGCTTGTGGCTTAATGAAGGTCCCCACGCCTGTGCGAGCTGCTGCAGTACTGTAGTTGGAGACGCGCATTTTTTGCAGATGGCCAAGCTCGGAGGGATATCCTAGAAAACAGGCAGTTGTGCAACAGTAACAGAGCAGCCTGTGCTTGTCAGACTGCAAACTAAAATCTCGGAGCCTCTCTGGCTGTCGCCCCTTGCAAACTGGACTGTCTGCAAGATGCTGTTGCTGTAACCTCCTCCTGATATGTATTTTTGGTAAAATCAGAGAGGTCCAGCTCAAGCCGCTTGCAGCAAATTAGAACAGGCTTCTCCCAATGCATATGCTGTAATTGCTACTTGTATGTTGCACATGATCATTGGTTCCAAAGATGGATTTGCCTGCGAATGGACATGCAGATTTCTGCTACGCGCGAGTCGAGTGGGCCTCGTTGGCATGAGCCTGCAATCGTTGGCGTAATGCCGATGCTCACAGAAGCCCGGGGCGGGGTAGTGAGTGGCAGAAGTTCAAAGAGCTGGCAGCTGGGGATGACATGGCGGCCATTTGTGACAAGACACTGTGTGGTGTTGAGCGCATTGTCCGCAGTGCAAGCCGTTTGGCCGGTGATGAGCAGACATAAAGTAAATGTCATGCAGCTGGAGAGACACGTAGAGAAGCCACAAGACCTGTTTTTTGCAGAGAAATGCGTCACATGTCGCTGTGGATCCGGTATCCGAACACTCGGCACCCAGATGGGGTGGTGTGCTCAGAACTCTGTGCCCTTGGCAGTCATTTATCGCTTTTTATCGTAGTAGTTCATTGTCCTGATGCTGAGGTCCAATGCCGACTCTGCGTCATCAGGCCCGCCGGAGGTGCCCTGTGCAATGGGTACGTTCAGCGTGAGCGTCAAAGTTTCTTAGTGCTTGCAACCACAAAGACTGAGAAGGATGCAGAAGTGCAGATCGCAAGGGCCCGGCGGGCTCTTGACAGACTCGCGAATGAGGTTCAGGCGGCGGCAGGGTGCACGCCTTCGGGATCAGCTGCCCAGTTACCCTTTTTACCTCCAATCACGAGGCATGTCGTTCTGCCTTCAGCTATCGAGATCTTTGGGCAGGTGGTGGCCGCAGAGTTTGAGGGATCGGAGGCGCAGGACCACGTGACCCAAGTCCGCACGGGAAGACTTGAGTCTCCGGCCAGAAGGATGACTTTCCGGACGTACCGGTCTTCTTGAGCCTGCCGCCCGATGAGGCCGGAACGGCAAAGTCTGGATGAGTCTGGGGACAGCGCAGCCCGCAGGTGGCACGAATGACGCTGCGGCTGATGCGGAAGCTCCTCTGCCGCCGATCGGAGGCCTCTGCCGCTGCTTTGGCAGAGCAGCGGCTCATGGCGTGGACATGGCAGTGGCTAGCTGGAGACTCGGCGCATCTCGCAGAGAGGGACGTCTTTTTGGGCTCGGCTCCAGCGAGGCTATGGATGCTGGTCAGCGGCAAGAGCTGTGCCGATTGGCGGTGCAAGGTGGGGCGTCCCTGCCTGCGCAAGTCCAGGCAGGCCAGCACCTGCCAGCCTGTGTTTTTAAGTCTCAATATCCCCGTGACCCCCAGGCCCGTCACCTCGCCTTGTTGATCGATGTGCACTTGGCCCGGTCATGGTGGGAGGCGCCTTTGGCCATCCCACCTTTTCGTATGCAGTGTGTTTGTGGGGAGGAAAGGCAGCAGATGCTGGCGCTGGGGGTGGAGTGCGAGGAAGCGGCCTCAAGCGAGGCTTGGGACCCAGCTAATCCTTGGTTGCGGGCTTGAACGGTTCAGCTTGTAATATCGCGGAGTCAGCCTAGCCACTCAGCCAATCATGCTGCTGCGGACCGGCTGTTATGCCAACACGGTACCACAATCGTTCAGGCACGTTAAGCGTTCACGCGCCGGAAAGGGGTGGAAGACGAAGAGGCTACACATGTACCAATTCGGAAAGTTGCGCGTGCACTGGACGACCACTAACTTGACAGCGGTCTCGATCAGCGGGGCATCAGGAAACCGGATGCACATGACCACCATGATCGGATGCTTTTCCTGTGTCGCCTCCTTCCGCCTGTCCGTCTCTACCCGCAGTGCAACGTTGCTGCCAGTGCTGTCAGATCCAGACCCCTGCAATGCTTCGTGTCACTTCGTGTCACTCGTGAGCCTTGCGCAGGAGACCATTCGGGCCACACGGCGCCAGGAAAGAGGCGTTGAGTTCGAAGTCGTCGCAAGCAAACCTTGTCTCAGGGTGCCTCTGTCTCAGTTCACTCCCGTCCCAGAGGTGCAAGGGTGTGGCAAATTGCCGTGTCCGCCATGGCAGCGCGAGGGTCTCAGGACTCAGCATACCAGGTTAAAAAGCCTCGACCTGTCTCCACGCAGGCTTCCCGACGCGGAGCTGGATCTGATCGGCCAGGCCAGGCGTTGTCTTCACCTGGTCTTTAGAGCTTATAGAGCTGTCCGAGGCAGCCGTTGCGGAGGCACAGCTGGTCCTGTCCCCCATCAGCATGGCAAGGGCGGTACTGCACTTGGCTCCTTCCAGAAGGAGGCAGCGTAGAGAAAGCGGAGAGGCTGAGTTGGCTCCTTCCTTTCCTGTAATCCTGACAGGCAGCTGATGGAGATCCTCATCCACGAAGGCGTGCTGGAGGAGTCATCTGCTTCAAGGTGGGTCAAGAACGCTGCCGCATCTGACAGTTCTGAGGGGCCTGCTCAGGTTGTTTCGGGCCTTGACGGCACTGGATTCCATGTTGGGCACCGATGTGCTCGATGTCCCCGCCCCAGTTCCCCGGCCTGCTACCTGAATCATGCCTGTCTGTGCTTCTCTCGACCAGGCGCTACTGATTGGGATGGACACCGTGTGTCATGAACTTACCTCGACTTACAGCGGTGTAGAAGCTCTTGGGAGTGCAAACTTGGGCATGGAAGGTGCTGGGGTGAGCTGGAGCCAGAGTCCAAGAACCAGATGATGTTCCCGAACTTGCAATGCTCAAGCTCGTACTCAGGTGCAAATGCCCTGGACTCGATCGGGAAGCTGGGCTCCAGCACACTCAGGCTCCACACACGAATTGGTGGCAAGAAATGGCACTGCCACTGCTGCTTGAACCTGCTGGCAGTTCCGTGGGTGCGCTGGGCTCCTGGTCTTACCAAGCCATTTGCTCGGAAGGACATGGGCTCCGCGGCTCAGTCCAAACTGTTTGGAGCGATTCTCGCACCAGGCGCTGAGCTGGGCCCGTGCGAGGCCGAGGCTCTCTGATGCTCTCTGATGCTCTCTGCTCCTTCGGCGCAGCACGGGGCGGGCGCAAGGAGCCTTCCGCGGGCAGTGACTCGGTGCCCTCCGAGCTTTGTGCTCAGGAGCTGGAGCTTCTCTGCAGTGGTTGCAGTGGCCTCTCTTGCTTCGGAGGAGCCCAGCCAGCCCGTGCCCGGGCCCAGCTCTCCCAGGCGCAGTGCGGCGCCCGCGGCCGGACGCTTATAGATGTCCTTCACGGCGTCGAGTTGCTACCGTTGCGGCAACCTAGGATCCCAAAGACTTCCTTTGACAGAATGTCCTTATTCGGAGCTTATTCGTGCATCGCAAAGCCTCGAGACGCTTCTACAGATCGTGCTGGTGGATCGGATGACCTTCAGAGGCAGAGAAATGGCGAAATGGAGATGAGACGCGGACAGCAGCAGGCCATCCCTGCAGCTCTGCTTCATGGCCTGCTTGTCGAAACCTGAGAAGCCGAACGTGCAAGAAGCAAGACTCTGCAGAAGCTCCGTGTCTGACGACATCTTCTGTCATGAAACCTTTTTGATTCAGGGCGACATTCAAGAAAGATGTTCTTGGAACTCGATTCGAGCCTCAGGCACCTCGGTGCCTTACTTCCCGATGGAGTCGGACATATCGAGCAGGAGTTGTGCAAGTACCGGGTATGTCAACGTTGGCAGATGGACGAGCAGCCGAAGGAAGCGTCTAATACTGACAGGCTGGAAGATCAGGACGGTTACTGTCCGGACATTGAGACCGCTTGTGTCACTTACTTGTCAGAAGCATTGCAGAACAGAGAGCTCAAGAGAAGGATGACTTCAAGAGGTTTTTCGAGAGGAGGGTGGCATGGCAACCGAACCCTGCCCTTGCCACAAGCCGGATGGAGATGACTTGGGAATGGGCAAGCACGAACAGCTGGCGGGTGTTACGAGGTCGACTAGCCGAGTCCATGCAGAACGCGGTTCCACCACACGGTAGGCTGCGGGGGTATCAACTCGCCGTCAGGCTTCGATAAAAAGGCTGCATTGAGAGCATGTGAGCCTCGGCGGTGAAGCTGAACGTTCCCAGAATGTCTTCTGAGCTCAGTTCGCCATCTCTCTGACCGGAACGAACGAAAGTAGATGCCCGTTACACAGAGCATTGAGCCAGTTGTTGAGATCATCTTTGCAGCATTCCATCATCCTCAGCCTCCGAAATTGCTGATCTGGTTACCAAGAATCCAGGAACTGCTCAGAAGCATTGGACTTCAGAGTCAGCGTCCAGGCAAGCACTGCGAGAAAGTGCTGGCTCGGTGGAAGCCCAGCAGCTGAGTAGTCGTCGGTCTGTGGAATCTTAGACAGAGGCTCGGGGAGAAAGCTGAGCTCGACCCTGCGGCTCCCAACAGGCAGCAGCAGAACCGGGGAAGGTGCGTCTTCTCTGTAGTTGTAGTTTCGGAATCCAACCTGCTTGTTTGCTTCCCGATATGACATGATTTGAGAAACAACTCAATATTTGATGTTCTTAAGGATGTACGTAGAATAGCATGACATGTCCAATACCTGATATTATCTAGTTCACCAGAGAAACATAGGAACGTATCGCATGGTATCTTATAGAATGGTATAGTATCATACAGCATCGCATAGGACAGTATACTATGGCACAGTAAAGCATAGCACAGCACAGCACAGCGCAGTAAAGCAGAGCATAGCAGAGCATAGCAGAGCATAGCAGAGCATAAGATAGGGTATGTAGTTTGTCATACGTAATTGGTAGTATGTGTGTCATTTGTGATATGCAAGTCGTAATATGATATTATGCAGCATGTAACATAGTCTGATCTGAGGATCCTTCTGGCTTCATGCCGTTTCGGCGCTTCGACTCTCAAACATCGTAGTCAACCGAAGGAAGCACCGACGCAGGGTTTGGCTGCATGTTGTCACATTTAGGCAAGACAAGCCGGATCAGGTACATGCGGTTGTCGGGTTTCGCAGACTCGTTCGCCGAGTGGTCGTATATGACTACCAAATCTGCCGTTGCCTGGAAGGGTCACCGTTACCTCGCCAGGGGCGGAACCGGGAACGCCAGACGCCTGGCCACTCATACAGAATTTTCAACACGTTTGTTTCTTCATTCGACATGCACCGGGCTATAGGCAGGCGTAACTGGCAAACACATCGTGAGTTTCAAATCGCACATGACCGCAACACATTAACCCATTCACCGAATGGTTCTGGCCAAGTGGAATTGGGACTAGGGCTGAGGTTAACTGTTAACCTGTTTGCTCATCAACCCACTCTGGCTAAATGGAATCAGAATCAGGGTTAAGGCTAGCCGCTACCCCACTGAGTCGGGATGGTCCACGCTACACAATCACGTTTTTCCAAGTGGGGATGGGCCGCAAACCGAAGTACAGTTGGCCAGAACGATTGGATTGACGAGTTAGGATCACTGGGCTAATTAATGAGTCAACCTAAACCATCAGCCCATTTCCATGTGGCTCCAATGATTGGGTCACTGGGTTAATGGGTACACGCGTAAACGGGCTAATACGTTAATGAGTTAGCGGTCAACCTAAACCCTCATCCCAAGTTCACTTGGCCAACATGATCGGGTTGAAGGGTAAATGGGTTAATTGGCCAATGGGCTACTGGGTTTTGCCGTGTCTTCTGCCTGGATGTTAGGGTATCTGGGCCCCTGGACGGCCAGCATCACCGGCATTGCTCGGCTTCTTGGGCATGTTGCGAAAACACATGAAAACGCTGTAAACACCGTGGCTTTTGCACGTTCGACAGACGTGATGGTTCGGAGCCTTTTTCATTACAAGAATCGGCATCATGAGCGTTTGGATGCGGGGTGCTCATCTGGTCCCCGCAGCGACGAGCATCATTAGCATCACGTGAGGGTCCTTGGCGGCCCCCGCCACTTCGAAGGGAGTCAGAGGCCGCGTCTTTGACTTTGTTGCGACGTGTGGACCCCAGCGCGGGCAGCATCACGGGCAGCAGCTGGAGTCTTTGGCGGGCCCCGGTTGCTCCGCGGACTCCAAATGCAGTCGTTCTTGTCTACGTCACTCGGCACACAACAAAGGCCTGCATGTCCCCTGGCATCTGCAAACAAGTTTTAGGGAGCCCCACCATTCTTTCCTTCGGATTCAACTCACTCCTGCGCCTTCGACTCCATGCTATCCGAATCATCCCCCGACACCCTCTACCGGGCTCGGTCTCGGTGGGCCGTGGTCAAAACTAACCTGACAAGTTCTTACAGATCTTAACAATGGGAAAAGATTTGTAGCGAGAATCTGTAATGGGAGCAGAAGCTTGGGCCACCCAGTGTCACCGACCCTTTCTAGGAAATGTATCCTCCTCCACTGGCGCTTTTTTCCACTGGGTTAATTGGTCAAGGTTGGGGTGACGGCTGATGACGGCTGTGTTTCGAAACGGACAAGACAAGGCGAAACCAGGACATATGCAACAGTTCAAGAATGCAGGGGGATACCCACTTGGATGACATACATACATGGGTAGTTCTCGAAAGTAGGTCACTTTTTAAATTTTAGGTCCACAAAATCGTACAGCACCCTGAAACAAGGACCCTAATTTAAACATGCCGACCTACCTACCTATCTCCCTGTGTGCCTGGCTGGCTGCCGGCCTGTCTGCCTGCCTACCAACTGCAACATCCGATCTGCATACGAACATACTTACGTACGCACACGTGCCCTGTGTCTCGTGGGCCTGTGTGCCTTTGGGTGCGGGTGCGTGGGCGCATGGGCCCGCCGGCCCGTAGGGTTCTTGGCCATGGCAAGAGAGGGAGGCCCCGAGGAATGACCATTCTCCAAATTCTTGTTGCCGCAGCGGCCCTTGCAGCTCCGCATGCTTGGCAGGAAGCGGCGTGCCTCACAGCTTCATGTCGGATTTATGTCGAGAGATAGGCAGCTGGTGATGGAGATATTGCTTGATAGCAGCGTGCAAGACTGGGTTCCGCTCTCACATCGACATGTGCTCTTGCAATCGATGGTCTCCGCGGTCTCGGGCAAGATGCTGAACCCTATGTCTGATCCTGAGTCTGTTGCGTTGACGCCGTGGGTGATGCTTCAGATCGTCCGAGTCAGGAAGTCCACAGCTTCCAGTTCAGCAATGGCGAAGTCCGATAGTGGCCAGAAGTCGGAGGCTGAGCCCCACTCCAGATGGTTAGAGACCGGCCCGACTGGAGTTGAGTTGAGGTTGGCAGCTCCACGTGCCCTGGCGGAGAGCCGTGCGCTGCACCGGCTCTTTGACAGATCCAGGCCCGGCCCTGAAGAGCCCGGGCCAGATCCTCTAGGAAGTTTGGCAATTCAGGAACGACGAGACGGAAGTGAAAGCCATGATGCTGCAGGGCCCAGCGGGGAGAGCCCTCCTTGCCATTGGCTCTCAGGACGATGCTGAGAGTGCCGCGCAGTCCTGTCGCGCCTGCAAGTTTCGCAGGATGACCACGATGTAGCGAGCCGCGCAGCCGCGAACATCCAGCGCCGGACTGAACAGCGGCCTGGCGCCAAAGGCCAGTCCACATCGATTTCACAACGGAATGCAGGGGGAGCACTTCTGGGAGGCGTTCAAGTGGATCACCCCGGCAAAGCGCTGGAGACTTCCAAGACCACGCTGCACTTTGGAGTTGGAGACCGAGATCTTCTGATGTGTCCACAGACTTTTCAGTGAGCCCCACAACTCTCACGGATACAGAGATCATTGCTTTTCTTTCAGGCAGTCTACGAGCATCGGGATTTTAGTGGCAAGCCTCGGCTGATTGGCTCCACGGACAAAGTGCCCGAGCAACAGTTTGAGCTCGACTGGACCACCAGCGATGCAGTGAAATCGCTTGGCAAAGATGGGATGCGCTCGGAGCTGGTGTGGGCGGCCGCCCCTTGGACAGCATTCCCCATTTAGCTCCTCATGACGGTGCCAACGATGTTGATAGTGGTCAACGTTGTCTTACCGCCAGCAGGACTAGAATCAGAAGCAACATCTGCTTCGGCCATGTGAGCAGGTGAACGTGGCTGTCGCATTACCCATGGCATCCCATGGCTCTCCCAAACCATGCAGCATGCACAAGGTAAGCTACCCATGTGCATCACATGTACTGCAAACGCCACGTGATGACACACTATAAGCGGTGAGGGTAGGATGCAACCTGTGTCATGTGACGTTCCCGCGTTTCCGCGATTCGAACCTCCATATACGCACGCATCGAATTTTTCCTGGCCGCGAACAGCTTTTCAAACTCAAGCGGTTTTGTCTACAGAAGCTAATGGTCAGCTCAATGCTTTATTTGTTGGAGTAAGTCGAGCAATAACCAGTAATCTACATGTAGATGGGGCAATGGAAACGAAACTGTTTAGCCCTGATAACAGCTCTTCAGACTCTATAGTTGCAGACTACATAGTTGACACAAACGTCAAACGTGGCATTTGAGTAGTTAATTGAGTTGTCTGAAAGCCGACACTTCGAAGCAAGTTTGGCAGAGTTGCAAATGAAATCACTTGATGGGAAGTTGCATCGTGAAGAAAGCTCTTCCGAGTTTGTAGTTCGCCCACCCTCACGCTTTCCGAACCCCCCCACCCTTCTCAGACCGAGTCGGCCAACAGCTCGTAGAGCTAGAAGGAAGGGAGGAAAGGGTGTCCGTGAGGCTTGCTCGCTGCATCCAAGCTGCAGTCCAAATGCCTTGCCACCTTCCGAAATTTGCTTAGGAGGTATGCAGTTTGCTCATTGGGCGTCGGATACAGTTCCTTTGCCGTTTGTGATTTGGCAAGTGAAGTAGCTACTGTAGCAGCTATCGCCATATTCAGCTTAGTTCGTTCGAGTTGAATTTGCCGATTGCCTCGTCCCGTCTCCAGCTGGCTCTTTTTCTCGGCTTTTTCGGAGCATCTTGACACGCTTTTTTTCGACCGAAAGTCGAATCGCAGCGCTTTTCCAAGCGTAGCTCTAGAGGTCGGCTCCGGTTTAATCGGTGCCGCAGAGATGGCAGAGGCCGGAGATGGTGAGCTTGCGCTGGCTTCACTTGCTTTGTAAGGGTGGACCTGCACAGTCCTTCGAAGGTACGCCAGTCCGTGATGGATGCAAGAAGCGACCGACTGAAAGTTGAGAAGCTGCGAGGAATAAAGCCATACTCTCGCCATACCTGAAGGGAACCTGTGCGAGAAAATGTGATGCCTGCACTCCACTTCGTATGTTGCAGCTGTTGCATTGCTTCTCAGTCTCTTCTTGCCTTCCCACTTCCCCTTGTGGTGCCTCTCCCGCCGCATCAATGTAGAAAAGTGGCAGAGTCATGTCTTCCATCGCATTCGCACTGTAATCAACCTCTGCACAGCTTCGTCCTTATGCCCGGGGCTAACTGCACGCAGCCTGCACTGCTGAAATCCGTTGTCATCCGAGTGTGGAATATGTGTTCTTTCGTTGCTAGCGTAGATCATTGCCATTGACATGTTGTTTGCCTCATGCATGGCCTGCAAGCATTCGGTGCGATCAGCTCAGAGCAGCTGTTCTGCGACATCTCTGCCTGTTTGCCGCGAGCACAAGCCAAAGGCCAAGCTGCAATTCGAGCTGCTCCCAGGGGCAGGCATGGCCTGCATGGGGCTCCTCCGCGCCCTCTTCAGAGGTGCAATCCGTCTGAAAGCACCGCGGCAACCACGAGTTCTTCCCTGTGCTTCGTCTCTGTCAGGCTAGGGCTGCATCCTTCTCCTCCGAATCTTCCGACGATGAGAGGCGGGCGAAGTCAGCTGCGAAGCAGCCTACAGCAGACTGCGTGAACTCCTCTGAGGAAGTCGAAGAAGGAGCGTTTGCGCGAGCTTGTACTCTGGTTGCAAGACTTCCAGGACTCACCAATGCGACATATTGGAGCCAGCATGCAACCGAGGTGCACAAATTTACTGCCGAAGCCCTGAAGGGGGTCGACTGTGCTCCAAGCGGATTTGCCTTGTTCACTAGCTTGGACATTCCGGGCATGACAGGTACTGTAGTCGAGCGGAAGACGCTCGGTAGGGTAGAGGCAGGGATGCAATGGAGTCTCTTTGCTGAGTCCCGCTGCCAGAATGGCGCAGTGCGAGGCCGTGTACAAATTGGATCCGTCTGTCAGCTGGTTGAAGTTTAGCAGCTCGAGTGGAACGCCACTTGCTGCTGTCCGCCGCTTAGGCGTCGCAGCTTTCAAGATGCAATGCCCAACGAAGCTGCGAGGTGCAGCTTCCGTGGATCTCGCGATTGACTTCCTTGCAGCACTTGCCTGCATATGAGCAGGAGGCCAGGGCCAGGGTTTAGGGCCGGGTCTCGGCGCATGAGATCGGTGTTTCCAGGACCTCCTGGGGAAATCCAGCTCTGACGTCGGTCGCAGCATCCTCGTGAGCTCCGGAGGCCCAGGGACCAAGCGCACCCTTCTTCTTCTCCTCTCAGTTTTGCAGGTAGTCATGCCGATGCTGGTCGTGTTCCGCAATCCGTCACTCTGGTAATGAAGGCAAGAGGCTCATGGCAACTGATAAGTGATCTTGAGACCTTGATGCTTCGACCATGCGAAGCAGGATGCCAAAGAAATGGAGCGCTTCCTCACCTGCGTGTTCCGGCAGAAGCCATTACTCGTACCGCAGAGAGAAGCGGTAGCAGGGCACGACTGTCTGCATGCTTCAAGCAGTCGGGGCCGGTGACGAATACAGGGGCCTAATTAATTACCAATATTATTTTGGAGGGTTAGTACTTGCGTTTTTGGTTCCGATCTGGTAGCTGAGGTGGAAGTTCTACGACTGTATGCTGCGATGGATGCGCCGATGTGAGCCGAGTTTCCCGATGCCCCGATGCAGCAAAAAGTTCGCCCTCGACATTTTCAGTGCCACCGTTGCCAGTTACATTTTGTATTCATTAAATGTGTTTTTGCGAAACCTTGCCTGCGGTGTTGCGCTTTTGTGCTGCCTGCCGAGAGGCATGTGGAGCTGCACTGGGGATATTCTGGCTCAAGCCTAGAGGACTGCTTGTTCAGAACATGCCGGCGTGGTGCCGAGTGGCAGGGCTCCAATATTTGTTTGGATTCGGACTTGTCGATCCCCAGGTCAGAGAGCTTTGACCGGAGGTTGCTGCAACTCATGGTCGAGACCTGAGAGGATTTCCGACGACAATAGTATCACGAGCACATACCTGAATGAAGTTAACTATAACTACTTGCAGAGCTTGCCGAA